TATGTATGTATGTATGTATGTATGTATGTATGTATGTATGTATGTATACACACATATATATATATATATACACGTGTATGTGTGTGTATATATGTGTGTTTGTATACACATATTCATACCAATTAACATTCATAGTTCATTAGACTGAAAAATAAATGAAACGACAGAGTACTTCCTATACCGTCTTTAAATGTTTGCCTAACCTTTTTTTTCCTCCAGGTTTTTTTTCTCTAGTATTTAGCGCTATGGTGGTTGTAGGAGCAGTATACGAGGGCCTCGACATCACCTACATCCATAGCCACTTCTTTCAACTGGCTACAGCCTCGCTCATAATCTCTGTGCTGCTCAGCATCTACTTATACACTCGCTCCTGCTATGCAGCACCTGAGCAACTAGCACTCGGTGGAAACTCTGGTAAATGTCAAGATCAGTAGTCTGTGATCTGAAATGATTTTGTTTGTCATTCGGAAACTGTTTTGCTTTAGATTGCTTTGATTTTCCCTCGTCCAGGCAGTGTCCTCTACGACTTTATTAAAGGCTGTGAGCTTAACCCCCGCATCGGGGACTTTGATCTGAAATTCTTCTTTGAGATGCGCCCTGGACTTATTGGCTGGGTAAGTCATAAAAAGAATCAGACTTGTGATATGTTCTGTGAGCAGTCAGTTAATAGAGATTCACATGTCAACTGTGGGAGTTTTCATATAAGAAACATATTGTTATTAAGGCAAGTCACTTCAGTTGAAACTTAAAAAAGGCTTGCTTCTTACAAAGAGACACAGGAACTTGACTCAGTCACATTTGTTTATTTATCTTTTCTTTCTCAATGAATCTCATCAGTAGTGGAAAAATTGCAGCGTAGATTAGACAACACGAGTAGGTTAAGCTACAAACCGATTAAATAAATAATAAGCATAAAAAATGTGATCAATTTAAGCTTAAAATATTTAGCTTGTTTCTTAAGCCGTGCTTTTAATAATGTACTTTTAACTGAAAAGTGAATGAAACGGGTAAACAAACTATGTTTTCAAACAGTATTTACTAATATGTATTCAAACAAACATTGCAACTGTCAGGAAATTTCAGTTGACTTAATTCAATACAAATCGTGTAAAGTTTAAATAATATTTTCCACTACGAATGGTGTCTTCAGGGCAGCTTTTATCTTAAATTCTTTTTTGCTCAATACTTGAGAACAGGTCAACCTGGTTATCTAATAGATTTTCCTTCTAAAATTGAGTGTTGTAAAGGATGTGCACTTGATTGTTTGTAAGGCGCACACCAGTTGGGTGGAGACAACAAAAACATTTGAATTTGTTACATTTGCTGGTTGAACTTGAGAATTGCTAATGATTGTCAAAGCTATGTGACAGGCGTGTCTACTGTCTAATAAAATAAAATATGTCAAATATAATACTATGCTTCTTTTATGTTCAGTGTTTGATAAACTTTGCGATGGCATTGGCTGAGATGAAGCAGCAGGCCCTGGACGCTCCATCATATTCCATGATTCTTGTCAACCTTTTCCAACTTCTTTATGTCATGGATGGCCTATGGAACGAGGTATAGTCAGCAAAGCAAGAAAACTTACGCTACATTTCATTTTTTTCCTGAACTGCTAGTAAAAGATATGTTTCTTAGAAAAAAGATTTTTTTTTAAATCTGTATTTTGATGAACCAGCCAGGTTTTGTTTTGTCATAGAGCTTGACTAAAGGTAACTAGACTTGATCTTTGATTTTGAGAGATTTAACCTCTTCTACTTGTACCTCTCGTTCTGAAATATATTTTGGGGAGTATCTGCTTGGGGGCTGCAACTAACAAATAGTGTAATTGTTTAGTTGGACTATTACTATTTTCTCAATCAATCAATTAATTGTACAAAAAAACAAGCTTTTTAAATTCCATATCTGACATCCTTAAGTCTGAAAAGTGTCTTTTATCGTCCATCTCACCATTTATGAAGCTAGCACTCTGTAATTGCCCTGTTTTCCTCCGGTTGTATACTCCAGTTTTTTTTTTCCCATTTCTTCAATAATTGCATATGTTTCTTCTCAAAAGTTTTTGTTTTTGTTTTCCTTCTCATCCCCTCGAGTTGAGGCTGTAAAAAACAGACTCTGCTCATAAGCCGATATTCTCGAATATATAGTTCACAACTGGAAAAAGCCTGTCAAATTAGATGTCTAATTCTAAAGACCAAATGTCTTTAAAGAAGTCCACTTGCCTTTACTCAAGCTCTAAGGGTTGCCGTCAGCCGGATGACCGAGAATCTACACAAAAATAATATGTCATTCTCTCCCAGGAAGCCATACTGACTGCTATGGACTTAATGCACGATGGGTTTGGCTTCATGTTGGCTTTCGGTGACCTGGTGGTGGTTCCTTTTACCTACACCTTGCAGGCTTACTACCTTGTTGGTCATCCTAATCCCCTGACCCCTCCAGCACTAGCAGCCATTATTCTCCTCAAACGTATGTATGGGTGAAGCCGCACTAACCGAACTAATCGATCTTCTTTCAATTTCGAAGTAATTTCCCGCAAGGGATTAAAAAAGTAATTCTGATTCTGCTTTGTTCGAGTATTTTCAGTTTGGTCACCTCTGTTAGCTTTTAATAATGAAAAAAATGTCAATAACTTGATTCTGAATGTCTTGTTTAACACACTCAGATTATAGCTATGAGTGATTGTATTCACTCCTGACAATTAAACAAAACCATCTGAATGTTCTTTGAAAATATTTTTATTTCAAACATTTATTGAAAGATAAACATTTCTATGTCTCTTTACGACAGTTACCGGATTCTACATATTCAGGAAATCCAACTCTGAGAAGAATGCCTTCCGGAGAAATCCATCAGACCCAAAACTATCCAGTGAGTTACGGTGTTGGTTTAGGGCTAATATTTCTTATGGTTATGGCTGAGGGAAGATTATTAAGGTTTTATTCTAAAAGTCAATATGCGCTTTGACAAAATAATAAATCTCAGGGTTTAATCATCAAAATAAAAGATACAATTCCTTGTTTTAATTTTTGATGCCTAGTGTTTGTAACAATTGTGAAAACTTACTACTGTGTGTGTAAAACCCAAAGGGTTTTATCTTAACAACTGTAAATTATGTGATCACCGTATGTACGTTTGAAAATAATTCAGTAATATTTTTTTAAATCATTACACCTAATAGTAATTTTCTGCCTAGATTACAATTATTTTTTACTTGTTGATGATACTTCACATAGCCGAAGTCGAAAATACCAAGAATTAAGTTGAACATTTTCAGAAAAGAGCCTGATGTAATAAGTCTCTGGTACAAGGTTTTGTGACTAAATGATTTTTTTTTTCCATACACCCTAATCTCAACATTGTCACTTCATTTTATTTTTCCAGATTTGAAAACGATCCCCACGGCTACTGGAAAAAGTCTACTGGTCTCAGGTTGGTGGGGTGTGGTGCGCCATCCTAACTACCTTGGAGACCTTATTATGGCTTTGGCTTGGTCCTTACCCTGCGGTTAGTTTTTTTTTTTTAAAAACCTTTACAAAACAAGCATTCGAACACTAAGAGCACAAATTTTAAATCTGTTAGCACCCAGCAATAATCATCAGTCACACTCATACTTGAAAGTTTTTTTTTGTTTCAATTTTGTTGTATGTGGACTGCTGGAAAAAATATGACAAACAGAATAATTAAAGGGTGCAACAATTCTAATACTGTTAAAATAATAGAACTCTCAACTGAATAATTCAGGCAAACTAAAAAAAAATGTCTCTTGTCTCCTTTTGTAAACATTTCCACAGGCTTTAGCCATCTCCTGCCCTGGCACTACATGATATACTTCATTATTCTGCTCATGCACAGAGACCTGCGCAACATGAACGAGTGCAGGAAGAAGTATGGTTCTGCTTGGGATGAGTATTGCCAAGTTGTCCGCTACAGGATTATTCCAGGTGTCTACTGAGGAACAAACACTAAACCCATTAAAACGGGGGGCCTTTTTTTTTTTAAATAAAATAAAAATTCCTAAAGTGACTGATTTAGATTTCTAGTTTTTTTTAAACTGTTTTTTTTCTCTTTTACTTCCAAATTGAAGATAGAAGAAAGGGCATGTTGTCTTAATACACGCATACATTTATTACCCATTTATAAAAACAAACACCTGGTTTTTATAATAATACAGTCATCTTTGGGTAACTTTTGTAAGTATTTTTTTCTACTCTACTTAAGCAAATTCAGTTCTTTGTACAAAATTGGATTGTTTCAAAAGCTGTACAACTGTTTGCCAAGTCCAAAAAATAATAGAAAAATGAAGCTTTGATTACTTTGTAACTCAGAATTTACTTTTGACTTTGAAATAGCTTGGTTTTATGATAATGCACTGTTTCCTCTTAATCTGTTTTTTTTTTTTTTCCGTTTTGTTTTCTTTGATTTATAAATTCCAAAGTATATCTGATAAAATGTTGCTACCTCAGGTTCACTCACTGTCCAATGTTCCTGCCTCTGTGTTTTTTGGAAGGCAGTGGGTGTAATGAGTTTGGAATCACTGTTGAATGAATGATGTTTTTTTCTTTTATTTCAATATTCCCATTGTGAATAGTGCTATTACAACTAAGTAGTCCTTACTTGCCCACCATTTTATATCTTTGAGTGATTCATGCTTTAGTGACAGATGGTAAAAAAAAAAACTTTTTATTTTATTTCCCGTGTTTTTAAAAATAGATCTAAACTGACCGTGTCAAACAGCAGTATTTTGATGAAGGTTATACTGTGACAATACAGGGATGTTAATTAGTTTAGTGTTCATATTGCGTGTTTACAAATCTGACAGTATTCTTATGTATATACAGTTGATCACAGTTGTAGTTGATCACAAAATAAGCAGACTGGCATGCTTTTTCCATGCGGGGCTGATTTAACTTTGTATAGATAGATATATGAAATCATGTAATTTTCCGAGAACAAGTCACTGATCCAATAACAGTAGTGTTGTACTGTAAATATTTAATGTTGCTGTATGGATTCGTTTTTTTTCTGGCTGACCAATGTTATATTTAAGATTAGATCTGCCATGATAATGGACCTCACTTATATAAACATGTATAAGATTGAATATAGAATTATGTTAAGACTTGAGATGTTTTTGTTATCTCCCACATTGCGTGGCTACTTTTTAATAGTAGTCATTTCCTAAACTTGTTGCTACAAATTTAGGTTGGCTTTAACCATCTGTTAAAAGAAAAACATGTTTCTACTTGAATAAATTACACCGCAGAATGAGGATGTTATGACTCCCTCCAAATGTCTGTAATAATTCATCTAGATTAGAGCTGAAAGTGAAGCAAAATTATCTGTACAAATGTTGCAGTGTGAATTAAAGATTGTTGGTATTTTCTTGTTTGACTTTTTTGTGATAAATGTATGTAAATAAAGATACACATGTATGTGGATATATGTTAGTGTCTATATAGATGTGTGTGTATATATATATATATTCTAGATTGAAAAATATCGGCATTAATCTATTCCCAAATTTGGGTTGGGAGCAGGGCCTAAGAGCAATGATGACTTTCACCTACTTGTGGTTGGATATAAGTGAGTCCTCGAACCTGCGTTGGCCTACTTCTAATCTCCTATTTGAAATTAACAACGTGAAGTGTTGACATGGATGTTCCTATGAAGACCCCGGGTTTGCTTAATGGAAAATATATTTTCAAGAAGCTTCCAAACGGAAACGTTCATAAGAATAAGGTTATTTGCGCACTGTGCAATGCAGAGTTAGTCTACTGTAGGAGTTCCTCCAGTCTCAAGTACCGCCTAAATGCAAAACATCCCTTTGCTAACGCTAATCACACCGGGGCGAGCACTGATGTAGCGAAGGGAAAGAGGCTTCAAACTACGCTGTTAGAGAGCAACCGAGGCTATCCGCCAAGTTAACGAATCTCATTGAGATTTGGAGCTGCTGGTGTGACCTATGTGGTTCTGGTGGCTTCTCTCAGGGTGGAAATGGATGACAGGAGCTCAAGCTGGCATCAGTTGTTGTCTTTATTTCACCATCTGCATTTCAAACATGGGCATCGAGGTAAAGTTAGTCTTTATCATAAAACGCGCTCCTCGACGGTGATCCTCGTGGCTCTGAGGATTACCCATAATACAGTAATCAAAATAAAATAACTGAAAATTACAGTGATCGCATAGTGGATTTAGTTAGGAGTGTCATTTTTTAAAGAAAGTAAAGCAATTAACTAAAATGCTCTGAAAAATAAAATAAAATGCTGACAATTTATTTACTGCATGCCGTTTTTATATTTTAGTTTATAAAAACTTATATCTTGAAATGATCCAAAAACATAAATGAACCATATCTTCATATAAAACTGTTAAAATAAATTTCAGCCTTACATCAACCATCTGCTACAAGATTTAGTAAAACATACCTGCATTTCAAACATGGGCATCGAGGTAAAGTTAGTCTTTAGCATAAAACACGCTCCTGCAAAGGGGGAGCCACAATGTTAGCATGAGAAATTCCCGCTACACTTTCTCAGGAGCTAAACATTTCCAAAACGCAACAAAAACAATATAATAACAAAACAGTGTGACCTACATAAAACATGTTTCAATAATATGCAAAAACGAAAACCATAAACATATTTTATAAATAATATTTCTATATAACATTGCAGAGACACGTTACCTCGACGGTGATCCTGGTGGCTCTGAGGATTACCCATAATGCCCTGCTCTTCCTAGGGTGAATGTAATGCTTCGTTAAACCAGCAGATGGTGCATTTTAGCAGGATTTATCCTGAACCATTTTAACTATGTTACACTGGCTCCAAAATAAAATGCTGGACCCTAAGCGCTCATTACTTGCTTTTTATCAATAAGAGAGTGATGATCCACCTGAAATGAAGTGGGGACTTAAATTTGAATTAAACTCCAAAAGCTTACAGCACCTGGGATTCCCAGGCGGTCTCCCATCCAAGTACTGACCAGGCCCAACCCTGCTTAGCGTCCCAGATGAGACCACATCAGGTGCACACAGGCTGTGTGGCCGTAAGCTGAAGGGGCCCTGGCCGAGGCCTGATTTATAACCGAGTAAACACTGGCTAAATGGGCTAATGCTAAAAAATAAAATGCTGGACCCTGCGTGCTGGACTGCTCATTACTTGCTTTTATCAATAAGAAAGTGATGATTCACAGCAAATTAAGTGGGGACTTAAAGTTGAATTAAAGTCCAAAAACTTCCAGCACCTGGGACTCCCAGGAGCCGAAAGATGAGGCCCGTCAGGGCCTCATCGCTCTGCCCCACGACGTCCGAGAGACGTCATTCGAACATTGAACGGGACACGAAAGACGGGCCTCCGCCATATCGGAGCCACGAGGCCAGATCTCGCACCGTTTGCCCGCAATCGCTGTTGACGTTTTAGTGAAAATCACAAAATCTTAGAATTTTCCCCACACTCTGGCTATGCTCGTTAAAGCCTCTGAGAGGCGTTCACCGAAAAAAAGTCAAACTATTGCCCCTCGCGACCAAACCGTGGGGCCGAGTGGCGCCAAAATGGCCTCAAAACGTAGCCGCGGGCGTCCTCTTTCGCCCGATGTGCCCGCTTTGGACCTTACGGTTTTCCGGCAATCGGGCCCAGAGTCCAGACTTTCACAAACCTCTCTAATAGGATTTGAATGGAAGAATTTTGAGAAAATCTGATCAACTGCCAAATCGGCCCTAATTTTGAAATTGCCATAAAAAAACAACCGGTTGCCGCATCCGAAAATAAAATACACTGACTTCGACCTTAAACTCTGTACGCGCTCACGGTCCAAGAATTTTCCAGTTTGGTGAAATAGTTTTTGAACAGCGTGCAGTAGTTCGGAGGATACTTTTGATCCATCTGTCAGTTGGCTCAGTGATGACTCACAGATGTGGCAGTTTAGAATGTTCAGAATTGGCACCAGGCTGCCGTCGCCGTGGCGACCAGCAGAGGCCCACAGCAGCGTGGTGAGTCTCTGCAGAGCTCTGTGAGCTGTGCTTCTACTTAAATCTTTCTAAGCGGGCGAAGCCTGCTTAGAAAGATTTAACTAATACAGTGATTCTGGCAAAAAGCGAAGCCCGCTTGTAGTGGATTAATATTCTACAGTGAATATATTATCACAAAAGATTAGTAGTAAGTGCATGGAACGACGTCATAAAGGAGGGGCTCAGGGAGGAGCCCCGATAGAGGAGGGGCACAGGGTGGAGCCCCGATAGAGGAGGGGCTCAAGGTGGAGCCCCAAGAATCGAAAGGTATATAAGCAGACGTTCGTCCCAAGAAAGTTAGAATCAGAATCAGAATCAGGTTTATTGCCAAGTAGGTTTTCAGACTTACAAGGAATTTGCCTTGGTGTTTAGTGCACAACACAACACTTCTATGAGAAGCAAGAATAAAATGTAGAAATAAAAATATAGGACAGAATGATAAAACTGAAAAATACAATCTTTAAAAATATAGATCTGAATGTACAAATGAACAATCTTTAAAAATATAGATTTGAATGTGCAAATTAACAATTGAGATGTGCAATGTTGATCTGCAACGACAGACCAGAAAATGCTGGAGCATTGGGTAAATTAGTGAGGTAGAGGGGGGGGGGGGGGGGAAAAAAGGGGGGGGGTCGCTGGTCTTGTTGATGAGGCCAGTTGCTGTTGGATAAAAACTGTCTTTATGGCGTGAGGTTTTGGTCCTGATGGTCCTCAACCTTCTGCCAGAGGGGAGAGTTTCAAAGAGTTTGTGAACAGGGTTAGAAGGATCAGACATGATCCTTCCTGCACGCCTTAAAGTTCTGGAGGCGTACAGGTCCTGAAGGGATGGCAGATCACAGCCAATCACCTTCTCGGCTGAGTGAATGATACGCTGCAGTCTGCCCTTGTCCTTAGCGGTGGCAGCAGCGTACCAGATGGAGATGGAGGAGGTGAGGATGGACTCAATGATGGCTGTGTAGAAGTGCACCATCATTGCCTTGGGCAGGTTGAACTTCTTCTTAGTTAGTTGTTAGCCTGGCTAACAGCTCATGTGGTTGGATTTGTATTTGCTGCAATAAACCACTTTGGACCGGGACCCAGCTGCCTCTGCTTTTTCTTTTGGATTTAGGATTTTTCTCCTTCTGGACTTAGGATAATTCTTCAATTCTGGATTTAGGATAATTCTTCAACTTTGGACTTAGGATAATTCTTCAACTTCTTCTTCTTGGATTTAGAATAATTCTTCAGTTTCTCCTTCAGGACTTAGAATAGTTCTTCAGCTTCTCCTTCAAGAACTTAGTATTTTTGCAAGACTTAGAATAATTCGACAAGTCGTTGGGAGGATATATCCACGACACGCTCTCAGTGATTTTTTAAGAAATACAGTATTTCTGTTACCATGGCGGGCGAAGCCCGCTTAGAGGGCTTTAGTCAGAGCCCGGTTCTGGTTCTGGTTCTGGGGATGGGACCCAACCGGACCGGGGCCGGACCCAGCCATGTCATACCTCGTTGCGTAGGTCTTTTTCTCAGTTTTCAGCCTATGTGACCCCAAACCTGCTCAAACCAATTGCATTCAGTCGGCAACCCCAGAACTCAGCCGGGTCCCTCCATTGTGTGTGTTTGGTGTGTTTGTGTTTGTTTGTGTGCAGCTGGGGTTTTTCCAGAGAACTCGCCCCCCCACCGATGAGGATGAGGAGGATGATGAAGACCCGGAGCTGCCTGAGGAGAGAGAAATGGCTGAATAACTCAAATCTGTTATTTGAATCTGCTTTTGCTTTGACTAACTCCACTCTGAACAACTAAAACAGCTGGAATGAGGAAAGGGGGACAGAATGGGGGTTAAAGCAGGGACAGAAGCAGGAAACCTCTGTTTTTCTGTCACATTGTCAGAACGAACAGCAGGCGGTTTGTTTGGTTATTAGCTGCTGTTGATTATTGATTATTGGCAGCTTTGGAACTGCACTCAGACTTTGAGCTCAGAGCTGATGTTTGAGGACCTTTCGGGTAAAAACTGCAGAAATAATGGAGGCGTGAACATCTGGCTCCACTGGAGGGCAGAGTTGAGCCCCTCTTTCCTAAGTTACATTTCACTCACAATCAAATACAGCAGAACCTCTATAACAGAGTCCAACTGGGTCCAGGAGCGACTTCTGTGTTAAATATTGGTGTGTTGGTTCAAATCTTTCATCAGAATACACTGTAATTCCTAGAATTGGTTCCAAAAACCTACGATAACTCAATAAATACTCAATAAATACTGCAGATAATTACACATAGCAAAGAAACAAATGCATTATAATAAAATAAATGATAAAGAAATAACCAGTAAAAAGGGTTTTTATTGTCCCTTTAGCTCAGAGATTGAAGAACGGAGGTAGAGGTGGAGACTGAGATACAGGACCAGCCCTAACTCACTCTGACTTTAGACAGGAACTCTACACCAACTTAGCTTATTTATTTTTATACATTTTTATATTGTATTATTTTTTCCTATAACTTGGACGTATTTTGGAAATTTACTTTGGGTGTCGAGTCGAATATTTGATCAAATTTGTTTATGCATATGTTTAGGCATCGTAAGTAGAGGTTCTGCTGTATGCACATTTACTCTCATTTTACAAACAAAATATATTATTATTCTAACGAATATGTAAACAAACTGTTCATTGGTGGCTCGTTGGTATAGATTTGGGGTGTCAAACTCCCGTCCCCTTTGGGGGTCCCCTGTCCTGCAAGTTTTAGACATTTTCCTGCTTCTGCACACCTGATTCTGATTACATTTTTTAAAAGTTTGGTCATGAGAGCCGAGAGTTTGAGGTTTTTTGTGAAAATCCCCCTAGTGTGGACGATGATGTCACTAGATTGGAGGGCAGATTTGGGGATTTTTCAGATTTTTACTAAAACGTCAACAGTTATTGCAGCCAAACGGTGAGAGATCAGACCGTGTGCCTCCAGTATGTCAGAGCCCCGTGTTTCCTGACCCATTCAACACTCCAATGGCGTTTCTGTGACGTTGTGTGGCCGAGCTATGAAGACCAGCAGAGGCCTGTGGTTTCAGCCCTGATTTTCAGCATTGCCATTCAATTTTAGACAAACTCTGCATCAAAAAAGAATTAGCCCAAATGTCAGTTCTTTGGCCACTGTCCTGCAGGTTTTAGACACTTTCCTGCTTCTGCACACCTGATTCTGATTAAAGGGGACATATTATGCAAAACCAAGTTTTTAATCATGTGATTGTGTCCATTTGGGACTGTGGAGGGCCTATCAGCAGGCAAAGTGTGAAAAAAAATGACTGGGTCATGTTTTTGTGGGCTGCCTCAGTCTGAATCCAGGAGATAAATCAGGAGGTTTCAGGAGTGGGTAGTTTCTGACGTCATTAGCTCTAGCTCATTATAATATTCCAGCCTTTCACCTGCATGTTGCCCCCCCCCCCCTCAGCTTACTCCCCTATCTGTGGAGACGTCGTGGTAGCGTGAGCGTTAGCATGGTAGCGTTAGCGTGCCGACGTGGGCACACCTCCCAGCTTCATCCTTATGGGATTTTGACCAAAGCTTGTCACAGACATTACATTAGGACACCAGGGAACTAGTTTAACTTGTTGAAATTGACACGTTCGTGGACTCACGAGGACCCAGGAGCAGAGTTGTTCAAAAATTCCAAAATTTATTAACAAAAGCGCACTCGAAGGAGTGGAAAAAAAACAAACATAAAGCGCTCCAGAATCGGAGGACAAAGTACAAACAGAAATGGTT